TTGCACCACAATCTAGATTTATAAATAAAATCAAATGCAAACCTAATCATATGTCATATGATGCAGACCCAGCCTTAACAATATAGTTTTTAGCTAGTTGTGGTAAAGTTAGAACAAAATCAAATTGTTCTATAATCAAATGGCCAGCTCTGAAGCCTCCCCTGCTCCTCAGCCGATATATATACTGAAGTCACCTAGTCTATAAATTTATTACAAAGGTTTAATATAAAATTTACAGCTTGTATTTAAAAGATATAATTGCCCTTTAAAAATAATAATAAATGAACGCTTTAATGGCCAGGCTCCATTCCCATAGAATATATGTATGGTCTATAAAAGTAAACAGAGATGCTAACAATGGAGTCCACCATTCCAGATTAGTAATAACTTCAGCAGTGATAATATAATCGCCTGGAGCATTGCCAGGCTTAAGTTTTTTTAATCAGTCCTGCTATTTCTGAGCTTGCAATGGGTCCAGTCTTGCAAAGTTCACAAAGTCATGTACATTGTCCTAAAGCAGGGGTCCTGGTTTTGTGGACCGGCAACGGTCCGTGGCATGCCAGCAACTGGTCTGTGAATATAAGCAAAGTCCCATCTGCGAGATGCAGGCAGCACGCAAAACTATGACCCCTCCTGTCCACAGAAAAACCTTTATTCATGTAACCAATCCCTTGTGTCCAAAAAACTGAGGGCCGCTCTCCTAAAGTGTTCTTCCCACATTCCTGGTAGTAGTATATAACGGGAGGGGCAGAAACTGGATGAATAGAGCTCCTTTGAATCTCTGACACACTGCCTCGTTTTTTTTACTTGAAGTAGTTGTATACATTATAATATTAAGATTATACAAAACAAAATCTTCTGATGCAAATATTGTTCACCCATTCCTTTATATTTGATGTCCCACTTCCTTACTCTGGGAACCACAACCAAGCAGCTAATTGTGTTGTTAAAATACAGATACAGATTCCTACTCTTGAGAGGGAATTTATGCTGATAATGCTTGCAGTTTAAGTATGTTTCGGAGAAGATGAAATGAATAAACCAAATCATTCTGGTTTTTTTTTTCTGCTACCTGCTCATGTGTATTTTTTTTTTATCATTTATCTTTGGAATAGATTTAACTTGGCAGGCATTAATCTCTTCTTGCTCACAAGCTTCTCCCACATGTCTGTCTTATAGTTTCCTGACCTTTAGTAAGGAGCAGATGTATTCATCTTCAAAGGCCTAGAGAGGAATGGCATGAAAGCCCTTAAGAATGGTTTTCATTCTAATAGTCATCAAATTCATATTAATTAGGAAGCCACACAATATCCACCAAATAATTATATGAATTTGACAATGGAAGAACTGAAAGCAAATACATGTGTATGCATTTACCTTATTTGAAGCAGGCATTTCAGTCTGTAACATAATTCTATGCAATTGTAAAATACAGAATTATTATTTTTTCAGATGATCTTGTGATAAAAATACTGAGGCAATTCTTAGCTCCTCAATTTTGGTATTAGCAGCCATTATTTGATTATAAATATCAATATGCACTATTGATAAACAACCACCTTAAATTATAGAAAAGAAATCAAACAAGCATACAAACGATTTTTAGCCCCCAAATCCATGCCTGAGAGAGACAAAAGACATCTGCAACCTCTTCTTTCTCTATTTTTAATCCCTTCTTAAAGGAGGAAAATTCCTCACTTTCTCAGTCCAGCACAGATGTATTTTCCACATCTGGCATGACATAGTTATTGCACAGAGGATTTACAGAAAATTGTGACTCATTTATCAAATCTTTTGGGTGCAAGACATGCTCTATTTTAAAGGTTTCCCAGATCCTCTATGACCCAGAACCAGAGGTGAAATTCAACCACCTCGGCCTGGCTCAGGAGAGGTGGTAGGGACGATTTGAATCGGTAAAAAAAAAATCACCCCTGGTTGCTATTACTATTATACCAAGCCACGCCCACAGCCATGCCCACAGAGCCAGTAGGGAAAATTTTTGAATTTCACCCCTGCTCAGAACCCTCACTCCAATGTTTCTCAGATTTGCTTTTTTTTTCTTTTTGTTGGCAGCATTGTTATTCATAATTCTATCTTTTTCTTTAGGGCTATGGCTTTGTCTTTTAAAAAATAAAAATCTATTAAAATAATTTTTATTGAAGTTTAAACATATAAAATTAAAAAATGAATATGACTTAGGAGAAATATATAAAAAAGTGAAAAGTGTAGATAGAGAAATAAAAAAGGGGGAAGGATAAAGGGAGAAAAATATAAAAAAATAAAGAATAAGGAAAAAATAAAGAAATGACTTCTTTCTCCATCGAGACACGTACAACCCTTTTCAGTAACAGCTTCTCAAATATTTCAAATATGAATTGTGAATTATACACACACACACACATATACACTTTAAACAAGTTAAAATATTTCTTTATACAATATTTTGTCTAAAGAGAAAGGGAAAAAAAGCCCATGTCTTATCTATATATTTTTTTTTAAAAAAACTCATCATTCAAACTTAATAAAAGAAAACTCCATTAGGAGCTACCAAAAATAACAATATATTGCAGGATCCAATATAATAGGGAGCCAGCGCAGGGCCCATTTGACCGGTGTGATAACCACTGATAAACATGCCAATCTGAGAAAGCAAGGGGTATAGAGGAATATACAAACAGAAGCTCTGTCTTACTAGGGTTCAGGCCTTTCCAAGCAAGTCCCATATAGTCTCCAGGCATCAGGGAAGGACTTCAAAAGCATCTCTAGCATGGCTTAGAGGTGCAATGTGTACTAGGGTTTAATCAGCATATTGATAGCATCAGGATCAAACTGTCTGGTCATCTCCTCCAATGGTTCATGTAGATGTTACATAATCAACACTTTATTATGTAACATAATCTGCAGGACGGAAGCTACCATGCTGATCTCCTCCCTACAACTACCACTTGGATTGAGGGAATTAATACTTCCCCAGCTGACCAAAGAAGCCAGGAAAAACAAAAATCCAGCCATGGATAAAGATGTCCCTGAGAGCCCCCTATCAAAAAGTAAAATGCCAAATGAAGTAACAGGTCAGATAACGTGGCAAGGTGGTGCTCTAAATCACTGTGCAAGGCTTCACCTAAATAGAGTCCAGATTAGACTAGATTTTGAGTGAATTTTCCAGCAAAGTGTTGAACAAAGTAATCACAGCAGACAGATGATAAATCAATACGATTGTCTGTATTCAGAAGGGAGTTGGCCACCTGGAACAGGGTCATTGGACAACTACCTGATCCAGTAAGAGAAAAGCACATTCTGCTACTCTTATTACCACTGAATAGACTTAAGTTTAGGCATATACCTCAGCTTACTCAAGTTATCTTAATTGTTGTATAATGTGCTCAAGTTTTGCATCTTCTATCTCCTGGAGGATTTCAAAGAACTGATGAGCTAACTGGGACTGGCTGGCACAGAGAAGCTGCTCAGAGGGGATTTTGTCAAGGATCTGAGATACTTTCTCCTACCAGTGGGGGGACCTTGCTCTCAAGCAAATCATCCTCGGATTGTTAGTGAAACTCCCAAGCGCCTACCAGAAGAAGCCAAACTGATTAATAAAGCATTTGAGGTGGATCTCTGAATTTTGCAGTGATTTTACATATATCATTTGCATCTTTGCATAAAAATATATTTCTATAGAGTAAATTTCCATAATCAGAAGTTAGATCGACTCATCTACATATGTGTAACGTGACAGGAAAAATAAACCCGGAATATAGACAGTAGAACTTGGATAGACATGTAAATAGTGCAGTAACTAATATTATTATTTTTTCTTGCCAAAGGGGCCTGTCTACTTGCCAATGTTGCCAGTGTTAAACAGTTAACAGCGACAATATTTAAAAACTGTTCTGGCTTTGCTGCCCTCCCAGTTTCAGTACATTACCAGCTGTCAGGAAACTATCCACCAATCATGAGAGCAACATCATGGGGAATGGCAAGTTTGTACCTGAAAGATTTTTCAAAGATTATGCTTACAGGTTTGGCTATGGCAGTGGATAGCTTTTTAAAGAAGCAGGCACATATTCCATCCAGTCCAATAGATAGAGATGGTTTTAGATTGCATAGTGCTCTCTTGCTTACCTTGTGTAATAAAGCCAGAGAAGGTATGGGAGTATCCACCCTCCTCAAGCCAGCTGAAAATATTTTCCATTTTATTCATTTTATGTAATAATGTTTTGGAACAGAAAACCAGGACCAACTCAAGAATGAAAAGAGCTTCCAAAGGCTATGTAGTTTTGAATTAAGTGGACCTATATAATCTAGCTCATTCCCTACTGCTATTGAAACTTTCATAGCTAAGACACATTTGTCCTATCTCGATACATAACTGGGGATAAGAAACTGGAGAGCACCAAATTGGGAACGATGGGTGACCTTTCATGTCAGCGGTCGAAGTCACCAACGTTATCTGCTCAGCACAGAGGAAACTACAGCAGGCGTGATTTCAGTTTTCTTCTGTTTAAATTGCTAATGTACGTTTCTTACTCTTATACAAGTATGGATTCTGAATTTTCTCTCATGGCTGTCACTGCTTTTGGTGTCTAAATTCAGATATTTATCAAGTTATTTTATCGTCCTTTGGATCAACCCAAAGGATGATAAAAGATTCAGAATCAGGATGCAGATTCAAGAGAGAGAATCCTGTTTAAAAAAAGAAAGAATCCGTCACGTGTAACAACGCCAGCATGGGAACGGCATCACCACCCACTGCCTACCCCAAAGTTTTTCATGGTCTCCCCTTTTCCATAATCTTGAGGCATCTTTGTGGTATGCTACGTCATCCGCCCGGCCAGGTGGTAAAAATGAGGGACCTCAGTCCGCAGGTTTCCCATCTCTATCATACACGCGTCACCCATCCTTACAGGAACTCTCGCGACACCGGAGATACTCTCACTGTTTTAGTTCGGTGTATCCATGAGCGACACTTCCCCTAACCAGTGAGCTCGAACTATATCGCTACGCGAAGGCGGGACAGCCGGTTTGGCTTTCTCCGCTTCCCGTCCCCGATTCGCCGTGGCCGGTGAATGGCTGAGTCACGAAAAGCCGCTGCCGCCTGCCGATGCGGAGGCCATGGCTTGGGCTGCGCCCTCTTTGCCCTCCGATAAATCTCGGTAACGCGGGAAGGGGAAGCTCTCTCCACGCGGGAGCTGTGATTCGCCAAATCGCCTCCCGACTCGCGCGTTGTACGAAGCGGGCTTTGGTTTAATCCGGGGCTGCGCGGGTTTCCCCTCGGCTCGGGAGGCTGTGGGGAAGGGCCGGGCGCGACGGCCGAGAGTGACCGAAGCGCAGAGAGAGAGAGAGAGAGGCATCTGCTGCAGGGCCGCGGCGACAGTGGGCTCGGCCTAACGCAGCTCGACTGGCTTCCGTAAAGGAGCCCGTTGGCTTTGCGCGGGTTTGGGAAGGCGCTTCGTTACGTGGTCCCTGCTGTGGGTTATCCCTTGATGACAGGTTGTCCTCACACTTGAGCCCAAAATGTCTGTTGCAAAGAGAGTCGTTTGTTAAGTGAGTTCGTCCCATACTAGGGCTTTGCTTTGCCACCTTTGTTAAGTGAGTTGTCGCCCGTCTTAAGTTAGCGACATGGTTGTTAAGTGAATCTGGCTTCCCCACGTGACTTTGCTTGTCAAAAGGTTCGCAAAAGCTGACCCCAGGATACTGGAACCGTCATAAAGACGAACCAGTTGCCAAACATCTGGCTTTTGATCACATGACCGTGAGGATGCTGTAATGGTCGTAAGTGTGAAAAACGGTCATGAGTCACTTTTTCCCGTGCCGTTGTAACTTTGAATGATCATTGAATGAGAATCATTGTAAGTTGAGGACTACCTGAAGATAACTGTATCAGGAAGGGCAGAGAAATAATGGCTGCAACATGCTTAGAGATGTTTTTCAGCCATTCATTCGTTCAGTGCAACCCTTTTTCCTTCCAGAGCAGGGGCCTTCAAACTTGGCAACTTTAAGACTTGTGGACTTCAATTCCCAGAATTCTCCAGCCAGCTTTGCTGGCTGGAGAATTCTGGGAGTTGAAGTCCACAAGTCTTAAAGTTGCCAAGTTTGGAGACCTCTGTTCTAGAGCATTAAAAGGATTACAAAGAACTCTTTTCTGCTTTTTTCCTCCCAACAACGCAACTGGCCCATAGTCACCCGCTCAATTTCTTGCATGAGGGGTGGACTACACCCTTGTGTCCCAGCTCCTGGTCCAAAATCTTAACCCCACTAACTGAGTAAATGTTTATAAAGGGAGCATCCTACTTTGCTTGCAGAATGAATTTATGTGAGTTAACAGATGCTTCCTTAAGACAATCCATTATCTAAATTTCTGAGATGGGTTTTTGTTTTTTTTTGGCAGCGCACAATGGAGTGGAATAGGCATCCATAAAAAGCCTGAGGTCACATGCCTCCTCGTGTGTCATACAAATGTCTGATTATATAAGTTGTATTAGTTGTGTGTTCCCATAATTTGTATGACGCTGCCATGACGCTGTGATATCCATGCCCTCCTTGTAGGTGCTTTTCTTGCAGGTGTCCATTCATGCCCTCCCTGCAGATGCCCACACATTTTGGGAGCCTCTTCTCTTTAGTCATATCCTTGGTTGGTGGTAATGTTGCTCTTGTAACCCCATGAAGTGTCTTGCTCAGGTTCCAGCCCACCAGTTGAACACTGCATATGTCAGCCTGTGTATGAGGGAAGAGAAACGATTCCTATAAAAAAGCGGTTTACATCTGCAGTTGTGATAAGCAACTGTGTTTAAATCTATTTAAAATATTAGAGATAGGATCTGCAAAAAAAGATAGCAAATTAGCCATTCAATTTCATAATCTTCCTGTCAGGTGTTTTAATTCAGTTTAATTTCCTACTTTAAAAGAAGTAGGGTGGGACAGAAACTTTTATTTCTTTTAACATTTACTTATTTATTTGGGGTACATCTGCAGGCTTTAGGAATCCTTAAAACCTGCTGATACTTCTTGGTAAGGATTGGCACTTGGCAACACTGAATTCAGTCATAAAATCCATGTATTTTGGAGAATCCATTTGGCTAGTGATTAAGGTACCAGGCTAGAAACCAGGAGATCCTGGGTCTTGCCTTAGACATGAGTTGACTGAGTGACTTTGGACCACTCACTTTCTCTCAGCCCAATATCATCCTCTTACTGTGAAGAAAATAAGAAGTGGAAGGAGTATTAGGTATGTTGTTTGCTACCTTGAGTTATTTATAAAACATAATAAAGGTAGGATATAAATAGACAAATGTTTTTATTTTGAAATAATAGAAAATACTTCAGATTTTGGCAGTGGTTTGTTTTCCAGGCTTGCTCCAATTTTGTTTCTGAACGTTTCATTACCAGACTAGATAACATCAGCAGTATTTTCTTGTCCTATTCTTACATATATTAAGAAACCAGACCATTCAAACAACCCGTCAACAAGAGAACCAATCAGCTGCTCAGAATTTAAATATAGCTCCAAATGAACAACCAATCAGATGACTATCTGAGCACACTGACAAGATATTTAGAAGCTAAGAAAAACAGGACAAGAAAATCCTACTGATGATGTTACCGAGTCTGTAACAAAACTTTCAGAAACTAAATTGAAACAAGCATGGAGAGCAAACCATTGCCAAAATGTTTTTATTACCCAGTTCAGTTTTATCTATATATTATTAAAATGTTAGTAAATTTTAACTGGGCCAAACAGTGCATCTTAGGACAATTTGGCAAATGTGTGGTCACTTCAGTGGTCCTGCACTTCTACATTGTTGCCCGGAAGTTCAGTAGAGTGATCCCACCTTAGCCTTCTGGCAGCCAGGCAGACCAGTTCTAATCAGAAGTTGCTCCTGCTCCCATTGCTTTTTTTGCCCCTAGTTTCCTGTTTAGGTTAGGCAGTGTCTTTGAAACAAGTACCCATTGTAATTGTTTAGTTAAACGTTACAAATATAAAAATAAGCCCTTTCACTGATACACTTCTTAGCCATAGTAGGTATCTTTACTTTGGGAGCTGCATACATCATATTTGGAAGAATATTTGAATATGAAGACATATTCTCTTATGTATCCTAACAGCTTTCAATTCTTGTTTCTTGCTTTAGGTTTATCTGTATATATCCAGCCTACATAAATAACAAGAAGACAATAGCAGAAGGAAGAAGAATACCTCTTGACAAAGTAATTGTGGGTGATGGGAGGAAAGAAAATCTGTGCATCAAAAACATAATTTGGAAACCATGCAGAATAAAATATTTGTGTGATATCGGTATTAAGTTATTTCATGGAGCCTTATTAATCAGATACTAAGGTGTATCTGTATTTGCTTTAAATAATACATTTTTCACTGTATATATTCATTGACCCACAGTGTTAGTTTTGCCACTACATACTTATGTCTTGCATATATAGAAATACTTGGTTGAGTGATTTGTTTATAGTAACATTAAAAAGTTCAGTTGCAAGTTATAATTACTCCATGGTTAACTAACATTTTTGTTACATGAAAATTTCTTTGCTTTTTTTTTCTTTTGGTATCAGGTAACTAATCGGCGAGGGTTGTCAGTGCCAATTTTTAAAGTTGGCATATGGCTTGCAAAATTTAAAGCTGTGCATGTTCACATTATATACATTATGGGCCATACCATATGTTTCTAAATACTTCCATTTTATTATCTTTTATTTATTTTTGTTGTTTCAGTCAATTGTTCCTCAATATATTTTAGGAATTGTTTTTTTCTTTTTCCTGTAATGGGTAAGATGCACACAATCATTTTAATGCTATTGTAATAAAATGCTGAAGGCTCCAAATTCTGTAGTATTAGCTGATAACAACTGATCTGTGCGCACCACAGCTTAATTGGTGGCAAGGAATCAAAGATGCTGAAAAATATCTGGCGTGGTGTGTTTTTTTTCTTTTTCTTTTTGTGTAGGCTATTGAAAATCCTACATCTACAGAGATCCAAGATGTTTGTGCAGCAGTTGGTCTTAATGTGCTTTTGGAGGTAATTTTTTTGTTATTTCCTACTGTACACTTAACCAAAACTATAATTCCACAATTGGTGACAAAGGGGAAGGAGTAAGAAGAGTCAAACTCACAGAAGCAATATTGTGACAAATGTCCTTCCCTTCCTTTGAGTAATGAAAGCAGCAGACCTTACAGAGGACAATGTTATAAAGGGAAAAGGTTAGGGATTACAGAACACATTCTTTTAATAGAGCATTAACAACACTCTGGAGAGTTATATATCTGAAATGTTTATGCTGGCATACTATAATAATTAACATAATGAGCTGGGAAATCCTTCTTTGAAATCCTTGGCATAAAAAAACCCTTTAATAGAACTTTCAAATTGTTTCATGGTGTCAAGTAGCCTTTCTTACAGAGCTTTCCTTTGAATTACTAAGGTAATACCGTTAACTATTAAAATAAACAGTTCAGCCCTATATTAGTTATTCCTTTGTAACTATTAGGACTGTTAATTTAATGGTTCTTGCTCCCAAAGTAGAGTTATAATTATAAGCATTTTTATTTTGCTTATGCTTGCTTGTAATGTTTTGATTTTTTTTCTCCATGTATTAGAAAAACAAAATGTACTCCAGGGAATGGAACCGTGATGCGCAATATAGGGGTAGAGTTCGCATTCAGCTGAAGCAGGAAGATGGTAATCTATGTCAGCCTCAGTTTCCAACACGTGAGTGTTATAAATATGCACAAGACTGGTTTCTTCCTTTTGTTCATTTATAGATGGAAGCCAAAGCTGCACATTATGAAGTGCAAATGGTGGGTAATTCCTGGTTACCCTCTTCTGGATGAAATATTTTCTTTTTCTTTTCTCTATTTAGGTAAGGCAGTGATGTTATATGCAGCAGAAACAATTCCCAAACTGAAAACAAGGACACAGAAAATGGGAGGCAGTGACCAAAGTCTACAGCAAGGAGAAGGTGGCAAAAAAAATAAAGGAAAAAAGAAGAAATGAATGTGACATGGACTAATGCTACATGTTCAAATGGTTACAGAAGAATAATGACTTCAAATGACAGTTGGACAGACCAATGAGAACATGCAAAGCTATTTTGTGGTAGTTTTTGAATTAGAATGAGTTTCATTTTGCATAAAATTATGGTTGAACCATTTGGGAACATATCCAGAAAATCCTCTTCTAGTTTTTAAAACATATAGAAAAAGAACGTTTTAATGTATTGAACTATATCGACAAATGAGTGCAAAGCTATTTGTTTTTGCCTTGGATACATTTTCACTTGATAATTTTACAATGAAACACATGGTCACTGAACTTGGGCTTCTGAAACAATTTTTCTTTATTACAATAAATATACGTTTGAATTAAACTGTTTAGAATGTTTTTATTGCTAAGCAGTGTTTCCAGTTATATCATTTTTCGATGGAGGTGGATAAAATGTCATGCCTGGGAGAGATACAACAGCTGTATTTCATGAGCCAAAATACCTAAGATTGTCTAAAATACTTTTTAAAAGAAAACATTGGTAACAATAGTTGAAAAGTCCATAGACCCAGGCTTGGTCCAGCATTGTATGTATAATAATTATATATTTTTAAATTTTGTGGGTTCTGTTTAGTTCTTATTTTTACTTACACTTTAAAAAAAAAAATCTACCATAACATTACTCAAGATAATCAGCATTTCTAAATTGAAACAGAAAGATGTGCCATCAATGTTTCATGTAGTTAATATAAATAATAGGATATGGGAAAGTCTATGACACATTTCTATCTATAATATATAGTGGAAATTTATTTTGATGGCAATATTTCTTTCTTCATGTGAAAAGTAGTGATTTTTCTTTCACCAAACTCAAAACTGTTAAGATCATATATTTTTAGCTTCAGCACTTCCTCAAGATTTAGTTTAGGGGGATGAAAGAGAAGACTTATTTCTACTGTAGCTTATAATTGTGAAGATATTTGCATCAGCAATTAATGGAGACTCATTTTTATGGTGCTGACTGTCAACTCATAAAGCATTTTCTATGCTGTTTTATAGTTGCCAACAGAAAGGGGGGGAGGAGTTTAAAAGAGCAATGCAGTAGTTTGGAAGTGAAAGTGCATTCCATGCATACCTTGCAAAGATTATATTGACGAGTTTCTACTGCACAAATCTCTAATTGGGCAATATGATTGATGACTCTTGGCTATGGACATGTTTCATTGGAGAATATGGATGTTTCGTTGGAGAATATGAATTATGATACACCCAGAGGGATGGGGGGAAACTAGGGTCAAGGGTGACAGTGAATTACGTGTCTCAGAATCAGCTACATATAGGTCATGCCAATATGTCGCTCCTAAAGAATTCTTTGAAGCTTTTTGAATGCCTCACGGCTCATGATTTAATTAGGGCAATAGCTGGAATCCCAACACTGATGTTAATTTATATCATTCTCCACATCTTTCTGTATCAATTTCAGCTATTCAATAATATTCCCTTACACTGAAATTATTCCAAGGGCATAAAATTACGAAATAAAAGGTCAAGCGTATAAACCTCTTCCCTAGGTAATATGTTGATGTTTTCTTAGTCCCATGCAAATTAACATTATTAGTGCAGTTCCAAATGGGAAACTTCCCACCTGGCGTGGTTTGATTTGCACACTTCTATCTTTACTTTCCAGATGATTGCAAGCATGATGTGGATTTTTCCAGAAGGAACTTAATAAAGAAGTATATGTAGCAAAAATAGTTTTTGGCAACAATACAATATATCCATCATTGGGTTTAGTGATCTATATTATCTCACTTTACATAGTAAAGTATATAGACCACATTTTGTGTGCTTGTTATTTATACTAATGGGATTTAGGTTTCAGTAAGATGGTGTGGTGTGCAGCTACGGAGCAGCAACCTAGCTGCTCAACTCGATTAGCAGAATTAGGCCTGCTTAGGATGATATCAGGAATCTAAGAGTTGCAATTTAGGTTGGGAAATTAACAATATCTACAAAGTGACATCAGCAAACCACTTCTATATTGTTGCCAATAAAATTATATGCATATTTCTATGAAGACAGTTGGACGTTGCGTTTGAATAATTTTTTTTTTACTAGAGATTGCTATTTCTGAGAGACACCCCCCCTTTTGTTCTTTACTACATCTCTAGAATTTAAATGATTTTATTTTTAAATCCCTTTCTTTTGAAATCTGTGTTGAGATTCTGTGCAATATTGGGAAATTCCCGAAGTTAGTGGGAAAAGTAATTCCTACTAGATTATGGTGATGGATATTAGCACGGGTAGTTTAATGCAATTAAACTTTAAGCTTTGCTGGCTGAGGAACTCAGTTGAAGTCCACAAGTCTTAAAGTTGCTAAGGTTGGAGACCCCTGGTTTAATGTTTCACTCAATATTTCTTACCATCTGTGGGATGGATCATCATCCTTCCTACAGAGAAGGGATTCAAACACATCATCACAGTACCTTTGCTGAAGAAACACATTTTGAAACATCACTAAAATCATTAATTGTTAAATAGTAGAAATGACTATAAAATCCACTTTTAAATAAATCCACTTTAGCCATACTAGGTACATTTGCAAACGTTAGACCAGGGTTTTAATAATGGTTTATTAAACTGTTTTTGCCTGGTTTATCTAACAGTTGAATGGTGAATTTCTGTGTAGCCAATAGTAAAGAACTCTGCCTCAGCTTTTTGTGGCAACTAGGCCAGTGCATTTGAGAAAAAGAAATGTTTGTATATGAGATGTGACTGCCCACTTACTTGCTTTCATAAGCACACATTGTTCCCTCATCTTGCTGCTGTATGTTTTTAAATTAAAAATAAAGCTGAAAACCATAGGAAGCCTATTAGAGTGAATAGCATTCAAGAACCAAGTAAAATCTAATGGCGCCATAAACTAAAACACATAGAAGAACACAATAGAGTCCTTTTTAAACATTTATTTTAGAAACTGAGCAAGCATCATCTGGGATTGCTCACATGAAACACCATCACTATAAAAACCCATTACAGGATTGAAGTTCAGTGAACCAGAATAGAGTGCCAATGGGGAAGAGGAAAATTTCTTTTCTTTGCTTTAATACCAGTTGTTTGATTACATCACTCAAGTAATATTGTAGGAGGAGAGCCAGCCTATGCATTAGCAAAAATTCAGTATTCTTGTAGCACCTTTTTTTGAACAGCAGATTTTAAAAAGCACAGACTTTTTATGAGCTGTGTTTTCTACATCTAATTAGGTGAGCCACAGCTCAAGAAAGCTTAGCCTTTTAATAAAATATGTTAGTCAGAAAAAGTGCTATCAGATTTTCCAATATGATGATGTTCAATAACTTTGGGCAAAGGGTTCATTTTTCAGTGTTTAAAGAGAATGGCTAAGTGAATATACATATAATAAACCAGATATAAGTTACAACCAATCTGTACTTCAAGCAGAAAATCAGTTTCCAGCACTGTCACCTCTCTTTATTCTTACAACATTATAAGTAATTGGAGAAGGTCTCTGTGAAAAAAGCTACACAGCAACACACATGGCTAATTAATTATTATTCCTTGTATTTATACAAAATTACGCACACCAAATTACTATCATTACACTGATATTAAACTATGCTATAGCAAGAACGAGTCAAATATGAAATGAATTTTGTACATACAGTTGCTGCATGCACAAATGGATTCAGCGCCTGGGGCATATTTTTGAAAATTACATGAAAGGCAAATAAGACATTACTGAAAATCTTCTTTCTGCTTAGAAACTGTATAAGCTTTAGATGCCATCTACCGCAGTGACATTAAATAAAAATGCTTACTTTCAATACAGAAAACTGCAAAAACAGCAAGCAATCTTACAATACATTCTTTTAATAAACTCAAAAAGGTTTACAAGGCAACATTATTCAAATTACTGTATCACAGTCCCCAGAAACATCACACTGTATAAAGGTAGTGATAAGGAGAAATTTCTTCCAGTTAATTGCTTTAGGTGGTCTTCTTCTCATCACCCAGTAAATTTATTGCAGCTTTTTTAACTAAAAGAAGGAAAGAAATCCATTATTTTTAACAGTATAACTGTTAAAAGGTAACTCAAAATTATTGTTATATTTACATGAGTAGAAACACCAAATTATGTTCAACTCTTATGGGACAACATTGACATTTGCACATAGTAATAAAGAACTAGGAATAGAAATAATGAAAAGAGAGAGTGGAATGGAGTAGTCAACATACTCCATGTCTAACTAAAATGGAATTATTCCACTCTTTAATACATAATTTTGTACTGTATTATTAAAAAACTTACAAGTACTCAACATGGTGTAATCAGTATAAATTACATAAGATAAATATATTTGCATATTTAATTAATATACTTAATTACTTATTTTGGCTGCTATCATTTGGGAAAATGAATACATAAGTATCACAATCTTCCTCCATGACAATTCTACTTTCTTCTGAAATTTCATGTCCATAAAGTCTATAGCTCATTGCTGCAGACCTAATAGATCAGTCTTTCTCAACCTAGAGTTTCTGAAATAAATTTCTTAGAATGCCCAGCCTATGTGAATGAAATCATATACATTTGGAGAAATAGCACTTTCAGAAGGGCTGGTATGGAGACTTATCTTGAAAAATGACCACTGAGTTTTTCAAAATATATAATAAATTCTGCACTCACATAGTTCAGAAACAGACACACTTCCTCACAGCAAATCTCGCTGTAAATTGTTTTTTTTCCTGATTAACTTAACTAAAAGCAATGTATTAATGTATAATTATCTACAAAATAGACTTGTTTGAAATTGGCCTTGCTGGCCTCAGCTTACCTTCCTTGGTAATGGTGTCTGTTGTCTCTCCAGCTTTTTCTTTTAACTCCTTCATTGCATTGTCCAACTTTGCCTCATGCGTCAAGAAGAAAGGGCGGATAATTTTGCGATAAAGGAACTCTGCTCCGTTTGAGGGACTTGCGGCCATACACCACACCAGAAAGCCACACTGTACAAACAGAAAGAGCAAATAAGAAACAGACTGGGATGCAGTGACCAGCAGTATTTAAATATTATAATCCTAATGCTGCAGCTTCCTAGACCAAAATTCTCAGTATGATAAATACATTAGCTTTAGCATTGCTTCCTCATCTCATCTGTCATATGAAGATAATAATATTTTGCACGGACACTATAA